AATTGACTTTGTGGTCAGGATATAACTTAATAAGGATTGGTAATTTATCATTAAATGAGGAGTGAGGTGATAAAGATAGAGATGATAAAGACTTTTTCTTGTATGATATTAATTACATGGCTGATGATGATGAAAAGATACAAACCATTAGGTAGAAATAAAAAAAGATAAGGGTAAAGTAAGACATGTGGCTAGTTTAGAAATTTCAATTGAGGTAACTAATGTAACAGATATATTAAGTGAGGGAGAAAGTAGGATTGAGACTAAAAAAGGTAGTGAGGTTGGTGTTGAAAGGGTTGATGAATGTGAGGTTGTGGATGTAGACATAAAAGGTAACATAAAAGGAAATGTGTAAGGGCATGAAAGTGATTATATGGATTTTTCAGATCTTGGAGAATGTGCAGACAATGTGCAATCTGATGATGAGTCTAATCCATTTGTGAGAAAGGCATCAAGTATACTTAGGTATGATCCTAATTGTGTAATTTCATTATGAGAACTAAGAATAAAATTTATGGATAATAAATAGTTTAAAGATGTTGTCAAGAAATATGTTTTTGCAAAGGGAATGCAATTGAAATTTTAAGAAAATGAACCAAAAATAATTAGGTTAGGTTGTATAAAAGATTGTCGATGGAGGTTTTTTGCTAGTTTTGATTTTAGTGAGAACTATTATATGGTAAAGACTTATCATCTTAAACATATATGTTTTAGAATGAACATCAATTGTTTACTATCTACCAAGGACATACAGAAGAGGTTTAACGATAGAATTATAAAACAACCTACTATGAAGGTTTTAGATTTGATAGAGTTATGTTAAAAGGAGTTAGGTGTTTATGCAAATTATGATATTTGCCAAAACGCAAAAAGAACAATGTTGAAGGAGAAAAATAGAGCTTACGTAGATGAATATGCCTATATATAAAGATATGCTAAAGAGTTAATGGATAGTAATCTTGGCAATACAATTTCAATACAAGTCCATAGAAAAGACGGAGGGAGGGTTATGTTTTTTAGAATGTATGTATATTTTAGAGCTATTAAAGAATGATGAAAAGATGGATGTAAACCCATAATAAAAGTTGATGGTTGCTTTTTGAAAACTATATGTAAGGAAAAACTATTAGTAGATGTAGGCAGAAATACAAATAATCAGATATTCTCAATTGCTTGGGCAATAGTTGAGGTAGAAAACAAAACATCTTGAAGATGGTTTCTAACTAAACTGATGGTTGATCTAGACCATGTAGATGGTGAAGGCTTAACATTAATTTCAGATATGCAAAATGTATGTGATTATCTTTATTTTTGTTTGTTATGTGTAAACTATATGGTTTAAAATTTGATAAATCATATTTGTTGTTGAGACTAATACCAATAGTTAGTGAAGTCATTCTTCTAGCAGAGCATAGAATGTGTGCTTGGCACATTTATACTAAATGGCAGGAAAATGAAAAGATGAAAATAGAAAGATCCTATTTTGAAATATTGTGAAGGCTACATATGTTGAAGACTTTGATAATCAATTGAAAAAATTGAAAGCCATGGGATTAGGATCTGTTAATGATGCTTTGGAAGTTTTTGTGTTACACTAGTTTAAAGCATATTTTAAAACTTTTTTCACGTGTGATGCAATTGACATCAATCTTTTTAAGGCTTTCAATGGTTGGATAATTGATGTAGGATACAAGTATATTATCAATATGTTAGAGGAAATTAGAGTCATAGTGATAGAAAAGATATATGTGAAAAAGATTTGGGCACATAATTGGCCAAACCAACATATCACCAAATGTATTACTGAAGTTGGAGAAAAATATGGATTTGTCAACTCATTACAAACTAGAATCAAATGATGATGATGAATTAGAGGTATTTCAAAGTGTTGGTCAACATACAATGAGCTTAAAAGAGTTGAAATGCATATATAAGGCATGGGATCTAAAGGGAATTCTTTGTGTTTATGCTATTTATGCTATGTATTATGACAAGAAAAAGCCAAAACATTATGTTTCTGATTGGAACAGTCATGTATCTTACTTTTTACGACCATATGTTGTAGCTAACGAGGAGGAAGAAATTTTGGTGACAATATACAGATCCAATGCATCTTCCATATTTTAGAGTCATGCTTGGTAGACTTAAAAAGAAAAGAATCAAAGATAAGAACGAGCCAAAAAAAATGAAAAGTGGTAATTATACCAGAAAAGGCATGATTATGAAATGTATTTTATGTGCTCAAATTAGACACAACAAGCAAAGTTGTCCAAAAAGAAGAACGAGTAGCTCTTTACAACAGGTAATGTTACTTCATTTTTTGTTGGAATGTCTAATAATGAGTATTTTAAGTTTAACTTAAAAAGAGATTATGTCTTGTTAATTTTAACAAACATCACCAATTCTTGAAGCAGTGAATGCACAATCATCACAAACAATTCAAGACAAGAAAATGTGTAATTATATACAATCATCTATGTATTTTGAATGTGCTTTAGTTTATTTTGTTTTGGTTTAAAAAATTTTGTGTTACAAATTAAAGTCTTGCTTTATAGTCATAATCAATCAAGCGTAATAGTTGGTGTCAATACTCAATCAAGAAGACCAAGGAAAAAGGAAAGAAAAAGTTACAACAATGTATTGCTCCAATAATTTCAGTCAATAAAAATAAAAAGAAGATTACTTTTGATTGTTTTCAAATTAGCTCCAAAAATCAACAAATCAGATAAAAAAGAAAGCGAATGGAAAGGATTAGGTTATATACCATCTAAAAATCACTAAATAAGTTTGCAATGTAAGTAAACATGCCTCACTTACCATAATCCTTATTATTAAATTTCATGCCTTTTAATTAAACAATTCTTTTATGACTAGCATGGTAGAGAAAGTGAGAGGACTGTAATACCAAAAAGATAAATTGGAGCTCAAGATTATGTTGCATTCAATCATATTTGAAAAGGGGATGGCTTGGAATGGAAAGGAAAGAAAGCTATGACCAGAAGGCAACTATAACAACAAAAGGATGTTGAACTGAAGTAAAATATAGGGAAGCCACCAAAAAATCCAGTTAAAACACAATCATTTCAAACTAGGTCAAAAGCTAAACCAATTTGAAAAGTCTGAAAATTTGATATATTTTTTTTGTGTTACTTGTATATGACAAGTAAGCTAGGTAAAGGCTCTTGATAGTTCTTTTTGTGTTAGCTATATATGACAAGGGTTCCTTCTAAAAGCTGTTGATAGTTGGTTTTTTTTTGAAATATGACTTTTGGTAGTTGGTTATTTTTTATAGTTTGTTTTTTTTTTGAAATATAACTTTTTATGGCTTTAAGATTCTTTTTGATAATTGGTTCATGATTGAAAGACCATTTGGATAGTGCTATAATGTTAACATTTTGTTCTCTATAATGGACCATTTGGATAGCAATTTAATGTGAATATTTTGTTCCCTATAATGGACCATTTGGAATTGTTTGTTTAGTCAAATGGTTTTTTTTTTCCAACACAACCAAATTTATATCGATATATGAAATTCGTATATTAAATACAAATAATTCATTTCAAACTAGGAATTTCATAAACATAAATTCATAAGTTCATATCAATCAACTACATTAATAAATAGACATCATATTCAAATATGGTCTTACAATTTTTTCCTTTAATAGAAATTCATGGTATATGTTACATTTTAACATAACTTGCAAAAATTAAGATAAAAAAAAATCAAAGAAATTAACATCCCAACAAGAAACATTTTTTTTCCTTCTCAATTGACTTACCTCTTCCATTGCCAAATTCATCTTCTTTGCCATTAGTTTTGTTTCTAATTTTAGTTATTCAATCAAGCTTTGTTCATCAATTTCACTTTTCAACCTTAAACCCTTTCTTCTCTTTAACTCATCATTTTCCCTTTTTCAAGCCTTTTCGCTGAATTGGTCATCATGCCACCTAAAAAACCCGCAATTGCCAAGCTTATAATTAGGACAACCGTAGAACCTTATACTAATATCTATCATTTTTCATGTTGTCCACATTAGGCATTTCAATTTGCAATGACTGAAGATTACTTTTCCCTTATACTCCCATTCCATATGTGTATACACATTACTCTGATTAGTTATAGATGATGAGGACGATGAAGACATCAGTTGCAAATTTCGAACTATAGAATGATGAAAATGCAAAAAGATGAAGATGAAGATATAGTGATGAAACTACAAAAAGATTAAAATGAAGATAGAGCAAGAAGATACAAGGATAAAGATCAACGATCAAAGGAAAAAGGGGATGTAGTTAAAGATGAATGATGAAGATATAAATGGAGGAAGAATGGATTTTCATTTTGGATAGGGATTTCAATTTTCCTTTTTTTTACTTTTACCCTTTTTAAAAGTTTTATTTTATCACCAAATAATAAAATATCACATGTATAAAAATGGTGGAAAAATCTAGACAAGAGTCGTATTTCCACGTCATGTGCCACATTGGAATAAAATTGGCTATGCCATGTGTCACGTATGTATTAAATGTCACGTGTAATTCAACTTAAAAGCTTTAATAATTTTCATCCAATTTAAGGCTTATTTGATCGAAAATAAAAGTATAAGATCTTTATTGATTGCAATAAAAATTAGGGTTTAATTGATTATTCAATTTATGTCTAGGGGTTTTTTGAACCCTTAAGCCTAATATTTATCAAACATCACATATATAAGTTGATATAATTAATAAGATCAAATTTTGAATTAACATGATATATTTTGAAAATTCAAGATGCAATTTATATATTTTTATTTTTTTCAATATCAATTTATTTATTTTTTTTAAATTCAAGTAATAAATATGAAATTAACTCTACATAATTTGATCCTATCAACTAAAAGACTCAAGTTAATTACTTGTTTATGATTTTATACTCCTAACTAAGCTCACATTTACAGCTTACCATAAGGATCTATTTAATGGGTCATTCCAACCACAATCCTATCCCTATCAGAATCTGGGAGTATCGTCACGAGACAACCCAATAACAAAATGACAAACCAAATACAGTTTGCAGAAGCAAAGCTTGCCCTTAAAAGTAGCCCAATTTATAGAGTTCACTGGCTTAGAAATTGTCAAATCACCCTTGAAATTTGATTCCATTCTCTTTCACATGCAAAATCAGAAAAAATAACACCAATGTTGACCAGAAAACAAATCCCTTCACCACCTGCTAACAGACCCACCTTCTTCCTCTTCTTCTTCTTCTTTATACTCTTCCACAGCTTCAGCCATGCCGGTCCAATCAAAACCATAGTGGTCCTAGTGATGGAGAACCGGTCATTTGATCACATGCTAGGATGGATGAAGAAAATCAACCCTGAAATCAACGGTGTTGATGGAACTGAATGGAACCCTTTGTCCACCACTGATCCAAACTCCAAAAAGTTGTTCTTCCAGAACCAAGCTCAGTTCGTGGACCCTGACCCTGGTCACTCGTTCCAAGCCATAAGGGAGCAGATTTTCGGGTCCAATGATACCTCTGCTAACCCTCCGCCGATGAATGGCTTTGCTCAACAAGCTTACTCCATGGATCAATCTACCAATATGTCACAGAATGTCATGAACGGATTTGAGCCTGAAATGGTCGCTGTTTACAAGTCTCTTGTATCAGAATTCGCTGTCTTTGATAGGTAATTATCAATTAGTAATTTATTTTCTCTAATTAGTAATTTAATTAGTAATTTAATCAATCATTTGCTAATATGGCATCATCCTGTTAGAATTTAGCATATAGGAAAATGGCAGTATTTTTCTCTAGTTCGCACATGTTTTCACATGTATAAACTTTTAAAAAATATACTTTTCAGTTAAACAACAATTTGGCTAATCAATCAATAATCACACTAAAAAGTTAATAAATTAAGATGAGTTGATAATTGGTTTCCTTTGAATTTGTCTTTTCTTCTGTGCACCGAAGAATCAAGTATATTCTCCTGAATTTTCATAGGATAATATTGATCAACTTCAATAAAAAAATTACCATTTACAGTAAATAAAAAGTAAGAAACATTTAAGATATTTATTTGGAATAAAAAAATTATTTGACAGCGAGAAATCAGCTCCAATTGATCAGCTGAGTCAATTTGGATGAATGGTGATATTAATTTAGATAAAATAAAAAATAATAATAATGATGAAATTAATACTATAATAATAATATTAAAACTAATAATAAAAATATATATTTAAACACAAATGCAAAAATAACAATAAAATTTTTCATTTTTACACTGACCCTAAATCTAAGACTTCAAGAACATTTTTTCTTTATAATTCAGTTTTTTTGGGGGATCAAGGATAAAAAGAATTTTTATTTCTTTTTTAAATGAAAAACCATTATGTCAAACTTGAATTAAGTATTTATTTTAAACATTAATTTAACTTTGTTATATTATTCACTAGGTGGTTCGCCTCCGTACCATCATCCACGCAACCAAATCGTCTGTACGTCCACTCGGCAACGTCCGCCGGAGCAACGAGCAACATTCCGTCACTCCTAGTAAAGGGTTATCCACAAAGAACGATCTTCGAGAACCTCGACGACGCCGGAATATCCTGGGGAATATTCTACCAGAACATACCCGCCACGTTGTTCTACAAAAGCCTTAGGAAACTCAAATACTTATCCAGGTTTCGCCCGTACGGTCTGACCTTCCAAAATCATGCAAAAGAAGGGAAGTTGCCAGGCTACGTTGTGGTGGAGCAGCGTTACATGGATACAAAGCTGGAACCAGCCAACGATGATCATCCGTCGCACGATGTTTATCAAGGGCAGATGTTTGTGAAGGAGGTGTACGAGACACTGAGGGCTAGCCCACAGTGGAATGAGACTTTGCTGATCATCACGTATGATGAACATGGTGGGTTTTTCGATCATGTGGCTACGCCTGTTAGTGGGGTCCCTAGCCCTGATGGGATTGTGGGGCCAGACCCATTTTTCTTCAAGTTTGATAGATTGGGGGTCAGAGTTCCTACTATCATGGTCTCCCCTTGGATTGACAAGGGCACCGGTAAGTTCAATTTAATCACTCATCTTTACTCTTTAATTGCATTTTAATTTCCTAATAATGTGATAATTGTGAAAAAACTTTTTTTAAAAAAATAAATTAGGTGATTAATAAAGCGAAAAAGGAGCATAGAGTTGATTTATCATTGAAAAAATAGATACGTGAGTGCAATATTTTAGCATAGGTATGTAGCACTGTCATTTATTATTTAATTGCAGCTTAATTAAATCATTATTAGGTTAACCTAAATTGAGTTAAGATCGCTTTTTGTTCATTAAATTTTAATTATAAATCATGAATGTTGAATGATAATTAAAGTTGTATTAGAAAATAATTTGGAGGACCTAATTGGAGAGAGCATTATACTTAGATGATTTACTTGAAATACATCAGTGTACGACATCATATAAACTACAGAGAGCACCTATTCCCTTTGCGTAGGAAAAAAGAAAGCTGCTGCTAGCCATTTCACACTGACTCTAACAATGGGATAAATGATGGGAATTGGAAGAAAAGTTGACTTCCTGGCTACGTTCACTTGTCGCTTTTCCCCAGTGGCAAAACAGAAAGTGAGATGTTAAATGGAGAAGCAAGTTATGTATGCTAGCCAACCTAAAAGCATAAGGCCATAGAGCTCCTTTTGTCCCTTTTCTTAACCATGCCGACGGCATTTTGTGCCCATCCTAAATGGTTGGTTAAGATGTTGAGGTCATCCTCTTTTGGGAATAAATAAAAGGAAGAATTAATTAGCTTTAATTTGTCTTGAATTCCACCCACAAATATACCATAGTTTGTTTGGAGATTCAAGAAAACTTTAGAATTGCTAAGCCATACCTAAAAAAAAAAAATGGAAATGATGCCTCAAAAAGTATTAACAAATTGGTTAATATAGATAGGTACTAGATTCATGGTGTGAAAGCTTTCTATAAGCCTTTTGCTTATTCATTACTTTATATAAGTTAGGTGAACCTCTTCCTTTTAGTAAGACTTGTTGCTTGACTTTTTCTCTTTTGTGAATAATAGTCTACACTTTTTTTTTTTATTTGAAGTTATCTTGATATGATTTTATCCGTTTGAAACGAAAAGTTCAGTATGACTTTGAGAATAATAGTAAGCACTTTGAGAATTTAGAAATTTTGAAACTAAATTAGTTGTTAAATTGGGCCTCTTTGGTTGTTACCAAAGAATTCAAGCAAAGCCCATCTGTTAGATTGACATTGGGATGTCTGAATTTTTTTAAAAGCTCAGTAAGATGCTTTGGTGAAGCAGTTGTTCATAGGCCGAATGGAAGTCCGTTTCCCACATCAGAATTCGAGCATTCATCCATTCCAGCAACAGTAAAGAAGCTGTTCAACCTGTCCGCTCCATACCTCACCAAGAGGGACGAATGGGCTGCCACTTTTGAATCAATTGTCCAAACTCGGACAGAGCCCAGAACTGATTGTCCAGGTCAGTCCCCTTAACCTCCTTTATAACTCGGTCTTTTTGGAATGCTAAGTTGAAATTATTTGTAGTGTTTTAATACCTAAAATGCAGTAAGAGTTAATAATTTTAAATAAACATTTGACAAAATATAACAAATACGAAAATGATGTGATTTAAAATTTAGAAAAAATTATCTATGAATTTAACAAAATTAAAAAATATATTTTTTATTTAATATGTTGATAGTGTCTTAATTATTATTTTACTTGTTAAACCGGTTTGTATATGGGTGTGATTGCCTTCACATGTGAAAGTATTAAAAATGCCATATGAACAGAACAACTCCCAACGCCGGCGAGGATCAGGCCAGGTGAGGCAAATGAAGAGGCCAAACTTAGCGAGTTCCAGCAAGAGCTGCTGCAGCTGGCGGCGGTGCTAAAGGGGGATGATATCCTCACAAGTTACCCTGAAAAGATAGGAAAAGAAATGAGCGTCAGGGAAGGGAAAGAGTACATGGAAGATGCAGTTAGACGATTCTTCGAGGCAGGACGTTCTGCTAAGAAAATGGGAGTTGATGGAGAACAGATTGTTCAAATGAAGCCATCCCTAACTACAAGATCATCAAAATCTTCATCTCCACACCCATAAATACTTAGAGATAAAGCAAATGTGAAGAAATATAGCAATGGTTCTTTTATATTGAATGGGATAAAGGTGGAGATAACACAAACTTTTTTGTTTTATCCAAAGGAGTTTGTGTCATTTTCATGCACTTTATTCTATTTATAAGTTGAATATGCAAATGCTCTTCATAATTTTATGAGCTTCAGCTTTAGACCTGGCAACTTACTATGCATCAAGGCAGGCATCTGAAAAGAGACACAAAAAAATAAAAAAAAGCTTAGTATTTATCCTTTGGAGACATCCAATAAAATCAGAACGATGAAGAAAAGATTAGCATGTTTCTTGAGCAAGGATGACATACATAAATCGAAAAATGGTCCAAAATTTTTGTTATTCAAAAAAAGAAAGCTCAGTATTTATGGCCTAATGCCTCATTCATCAAGAAAAAAATATTGCATCTCATAATTTGTATCACCAACATTATTAGTTAAAATTTCAAAAGGAATACTTGACTTGCAAAAAGGAAATTAGATGCATTCATGGTTATACTATGAAGCGTAAAAAATGATATAACCCTCATTAACTTGTAAACATATCCTTTTCCTTATGTATACTGCGTCTTACTACCTGTATTTGGTGTTGATAACTCTGTTTTAAAGGAGATTGATATCAATAGAATGGTTGCAGAGACTAATTAATTAGATTAGATCTCGGCCATGATTTAAAGTGTCCCAATTGGGAATATTGGCAGTAGCCTCATTCACCATCTTCACTAGTCTCACCAGCAGAAATTGCAATGATTAGATTTATAACTACGTAAATATAAAAATTACATAAACTAAGTTTCGGCCCTAGCTTTGCCGGGGTTTTCTTTTTTTTTTTCATACTTATAATTTTTTTAGAATTAATCTCAAAATATAGCATATCTTAATATAGATTTTTCATTTTATGATATAAAAATATATTAATTTTTAATGTTATCAATTTTTTTAGAATAATGAATTTTGTTAAGTAGTTTTTATAATAATATTTCAAGTCATTATGAAAATAGATCATTATTCAATTATGTGTGAATTATTATAAAGATATTTTTAATCTTAAAATTATTTTAAATGTCAAATTTGATGTTGCTTTAAATTAAAATATAGGGAAAGTTTTATTTATTTTATAGTAGATTGGAAGGGAGATAACCAAAGATAATTAAACCTGAGACAGAGATTAGAGAAATTGGGAAATGAAAGTAAAAGAAACACAGTTAAAATTAAATTTAATAATTTAAAATTCAATACGATATCACAATATAAAAATAAGATATAAAAATAATACGATTTAAAATTTTAATAATAATTATATATAAATTTAATAAAAATAAAAAAATATATTTTATATTTTCATATCAATACAAATTATAATATATAATTTTTATATAAAATATAATATAAATATGTAAATTTTAATATTTTATACTATATAAATACACTCTAACCAAAACTGACCATGAGCCATGGACACATTATCAATGAAGCAATGAATACTCCTTCGTCGTCATATTTTCATAAATGTGAGGCCTATTTGATTTGTGTTTAACCACAACCCAATTTTCCAAATTTCTCAACCAAAAAGAATAGTCGACCAGAAATGAATTTTTTCAGCCTTACCGAACATTCTTTCCATAATTAACTTCACTAACCAATGTTACTTCCACCACTAACCCTCAAATCATGAGTAATTCCAAACCTCATGTGACTGTAAATAAGGGGAGTAAAAATTGGTCCAAATCGATTTAATCAACTGAAACTGCTAAAATATAGTCAATTCGGTTTGGTCTAGTAGGTTTTCGGTTATAGTCAATTTTGAGGTCGATTAAATTGATTAAATCAGTTGGTTATCGATTCTTAAAATTGATAATTGAATTGACTAAATTAACTAACTGTATAATAACTAAGCGTAAATATATATATTTCCCCTAAAAAACCCCTAAACTTTAACTCACTTTTTCTAACCCTTATCAAGACCCACCCACGTTGGGCCCCTTTTTTTGCTTAATTGCTTCTTAGCCTCTTGCATATTTGCCTCCCTCTCAGCCTCTTGCATATTTGCCTTTAGCCTCCCTCTTTTGCTTGACCACTTCTCTACCTCTTTTGCACTTTGCCTTTATCGCCTTTAATTTATTGCATAAGATCAGAGTTTGATAGTTGTAGAGATCTTCCTTTGCTGCATAAGACCTACAATCATCGTAAGTCCCTGATAACCTTTCTTTTTTCCTTTACTGTGATACTACAAACATAATGAATTAATGCTAAACCCCAAACAATTAAAAAAAAAACCAACATACCCATTTTAAAGCTGAGTTGACAATGATTTACATTTTCTTTTAGTGTAGTTATTTGAGTAAAAATTAGAAAATAAAATCAAAAAGGAAAATTAAAGATAGAATATTATATTAAAAATGTTTAGTTGTATGTTTTTGTTAATTTTATGACTTATTATCTTTGAAAGCTTGAATATATAATCTCAATCAATTTCCTATGGGGTTCCTGAAGCTAGTAACTCAAATGCATGGGTGAAGTGCATTAATCAAATCAATTTGTCCACAATTAACAAAAGTTAGAAAAAATGAATTCACAAATCTATAAACCAAATGTGATTTTACCCCAAGTTACTAAATAGATCAACAAAAGTTGCCCTAAGCCCCCATAGCCAGAGGAATATATGACAAAAAAAATAACAGTTGCCAATATGGGATTGACCTACATCTATATATGTCACAACATTCAAAATAGTTGTGCATGATGTGTTCTGAAAAAAAAAAAATAGTCACTTGGTCAATTAAGCTTACGCCTACACCTACTGGGGCCTTGGCTAACGACATCAGTTTTAAGTGAGTCTTCTATTGTGGATTCTTGCAAAACCAACCCTCAATTTCTACATAATTTTAGGATTGGGGTTGTAGTTAGAGCTCCTGAATTGTTTACAATTGATTTTGTCTAGGAAAGAATTGAGTGTGAATCTTTCCTGTGAGGCATTTATTTAATTATTTGAATATAATTTAATTATATAATTTTACTTTTATGTGAATCTAAGAATTAACCCTTGGTTCTAGATTTATTTGAATCCTCCATGGGAGGCATTTTTATATAATTTTACTTTTATTCATTATTTGAATATAATTTAATTATTTATTTTGTATTGTTTGGATATAATTTGATTGCTTTTTTATTTTTGAAGATGTCAAATGAAGTGGGTGATATGACTTTGGATTCTACACCTAATCAAACACAATCAAACCTCTCAACTTCCTACACAAAATGAAGTAACAAGAAGTGAAGCTACAAATTCTAAAGTGATAAGACGAGCATTTAAGCCATAGTTCGAGGTATGAGACCACTTCACTAAATTTGTCAACAAGGGAGATAATCGTAAAGCTAGGTGTAATTATTGTAATAGAGAATTTTTTGTTGATCCTAAAAAGAATGGAACCACTACATTAAAGAATCACATGAATTCTTATAAAAAGCTTCCTCGTGTTAATAGGAATGATGGTACTCAAATAGAATTAGTGTTGTTGTCAGGATGGGTGGAATCTTTAGGCACATGAAAATTTAATCAAGATGTTGTTAGAAAAAATGTAGCTAAAATAATCATTCTAGATGAGTTGCCAGTTAGATTTTCAAAGACGGAAGGATCTAGGTATTGCATGTCAATTGCATGTCCTAAATTTCATGTACCATTATGATGTACAGTTGCTAGGGATTGCTATCAACTTTATGTTGATAAAAAAGAATCATTTGAAGTAATTCATGAAATCATCTTCCACAAGAGTATCTCTTATCATTGACACATGGACCTCGTTACAAAAGGTTGATTAAATGTGTCTTATAGCTCATTTCATAGACAAAGATTGAAAACTAAACAAAAAAATTTAATTTTTGTCCCATTTCTAGTCATAAAGGCGAAGCCATTGGTAAGACAATTGAGAAATGTTTGTATGATGGGGGATTGATAAGATTTTCACTGTTACAGTTGATAATGCTAATTCTAATGATGTTGCAATTGCATATTTGACAAAAAAATTTAACAACGCTAGAACTAGTATTTTAGGAGGCAAATATTTTCATTTGAGATGCATTGCATATATTATTAATCTCATTGTTTATGATAGATTGAAGGAAATGAATGAATCAATTGCTCGTGTTAAAATGGCAGTAAGATATGTGAGACAATCACCTTCTAGATTACCCAAGTTTAAAGAGTGTGTTATGAATAAGCATATTCATAGTAAAAGTTTATTGTGTTTGAATGTTAGCACTAGATAGAATTCTACTTACTTGATGTTGGATATAGCTCAAAAGTTTGAAAGGGTATTTAATGTATTTGATGATCTTGATCCTTATTATAAATGTGAGCTTTTAATGGGAGATGGGTGCCCTATCAGAATGATTAGGCAACTGTTAGGACGTTTTACCTTTTCTTGCAACAATTTTATGATCTCACCATAAAAGTTTCAAGTACTTCTTACTTCATATCCAATACTTTTTTTGATGATATATGTGATGTTTATTCCACTTTACGAGAATGATAATTAAATCCTGATATTGAGTTGAATGCATTGGCTAAGAGAATGAAGGATAAATGTGATAAATATTGGGGAAATATAGAGAAGATAAATATGTTGGTCGATATTGCTTCTCTTCTTAATCCTTCAAAAAAACTTCCTTTTTTTGAATATTGCTTCATGAAGATTTATTCTTCTGATGAGGCTTCATTGATGATTAAGAAAGTAAAACAAGCAATAGAGACTTGTTCAATGAATATAAAAAAGAGTCAGAACTTCAGTGTGAGCAAGCTGGTGAAAGTAGTCAAGTGAGCCAAATGTCATAGCCCACCAATGATTAAAGTGGAAATGGAATGACAAAAAAAAAGCAAAGCTTTAAGTTAAAGTATAAGAGATATAGGATTGAACATGGCAAAGATGAACATAAATCAAAATTGGCTAAATATTTGAGTGAGGAGCCTGATGATGATGATGGTAATGACTTTGATGTTTTAACTTAGTGGAAACTCAATAACCATACGTTTCCTATCCTTTCCAATCTAGCTTGTGATGTATTGGCGATTCCCATATCCATAGTTGTTTCTGAATATGCTTTTAGCACTAATGGTCGTGTGCTCAATATAGGAGTTCTCTAACTTTTAAGATTGTGCAAGCCCTTATTTGTATTCAATATTGGCTACATAGATCTTCTAATCTTGATTCATTTCAACCTAAAGATGTTTTGATATAGCTTGACAAAATAGATTTGGGTAATATTTTATTTATACCATCATTTATTTTTTAAATATTATTATTTTTTATTTTTTAATTGTAAAGCTTACTTTTGTTAATTTTTTGTTTATGTATTTTTAAATTTGTCAAAAATTGCCTTAAATACGATAATTGATTAAGAAAAGGGTGCATGGACCTTATGAGGTAATTTCATTATTAATTTCTATGAATATTTGCATTTAGAAAATATTTATTTTATTCTTTGACAACTAATTAATATTTTGATCTTTTTAACATCTTATGAAACAATAAAGAATGTGCACCAAAGCTATAGGATTCATGTATGAAG